TGAACAGTGGTGATAGGTATCGTCGATTCGTTGGCCGTACGGACTGCTCAAACGCTACGGACCACGCGCGGCGCGGTTAAAATGTTGCGAGAGCACGATTTTAACAATGGCGAGTTTGTGTCGGAGCAAGCGTTTTACCCCGCGGCGCGTGCTCCGCGGTTATGTCCAGTCCGTACAGTCAACGAATGGACAATACTAACAAGGGAATGGTCAGAAGTCGAAGTGGCCAATCCATACAAGGTGCATACCCTTGGATGCAGCATAAAACGATGAGTCTAAATTTGCCTTCCTCATCTGCAGAGCGCTTTTGTAGACGAAGTTATAAGCCTTTGAAGGACAGAATTTTGCTAGGAAATTGTGCGTGTAAAGTGCAAATTTAGCCGTACAAAGCCATTCTCGGCTCAGTGTAGGACCAAAACATGCAAGTAGATCACTTCATATGACCAATACCTAGAGGTGAGCTGAAAAAGCAATAATGTGCCTAATTTCGCAATTTTTTACACAATTTTTTCGCAGTAAAGCTGCTCATAACTTCGCCTACAAAGGCGCTCTGCAGATATGTAAGACAGATCTGAAATCAGCATTCTATGCTGCATCGAATGTTATGCAGCTTGTATGGATTAGCCACTTCGACTTCTGACCAGTTCTTGTAAGCATGGTGCTAAGTCTTTTTGCGTATCTGCAACGTCAGCGCGAAAGTGCGCTAATGATGAGTTTTAGTGCGAGTGCGGCGCGAGCCGACCATGAAGGGCGGCGGCCAGTCCTCTTTGTTCACACGCAAGCTTTACCGCATTTTTTTGCAGCGCAAACACGCTACGTTAAACGAAAAATTTATTTGACTGTACATCATTTTACCTACATTAAGTTGGCTAAAAAGCAACTCGGCCACTTGCGCCTTGTAGAAATGTTACAGACAGATTTTATACAATCTTTGGTATCAGTGGGAAGCTTCAATCGGAAAAAAAAGTGCGCTTCGCAAGGGAAAAATCATTTTCCTTCCAATGAGGAAAAACCGCAAGAAGTAAGGTAGCCCGACTTCTTTATTTGCAGAAACTACAAAAAATGGAATCGCTGTTTGAAGGCAGTGTCCGGGCAAAAACTCGATTTCCAGAAAATCCCCTTACGGGGGGTTATCCGCAACGCTGAATCCGAAAATCCACTTTAGAAGGTGCGAAAACGGTGAGAACATACTCTTCCAACCGCGCAATTTGAAATTCGACGGTCCCCACCAAGGCAGAGACGCAGAGTCGCTGTGGGACCCTACATTTTAGCTGTAGCGGCAAGCGTACTGTGCCGCATGGCAGGGAATTCGGACAGTTCGGAGAACCCCACCCCAAGGCGTAAGTTTCCCCACTTTCCGGTCGCTTTTCTTGCTTTAGGTCGAGCGTTATAACGTCGCACTTGCGCATTGAGTCTGAGAGGGGCCACTCTCGCATGGCACTGTAATTCCAAAACCCCATCTTGCCCGGCCACTGCCTTTAAGGCCTCGGGCAGAATTCACGCGATTTGATCTTCGCGATTTCATCGCGACCAGACAACTGTTACGAGTTCATTGCATGCCGACCAGCTTGCATTTCGGTTTTGATACTCTTCCAGCCCGAAATTTTTGAATGTAAGAAAATGAATGGAAATCGCGGCTATCAAGTTGCGTAAACTCTGTCCGAGGTTTAAAGCTTCATCATTAGCTTCAATATCGGGACAAATCAGAACACTCATTGGCCATGGTTCCTGTTGCAGAGTCACTTGAAATTAATGCGTTCAAAAGTGCCTGGAAACTTCCCGTACAGTCTAATGTTTGTCTCGTTGGCAACTTCCACTGGTGAACAGCGGGTGGACCGATTTTACCATTTATTCACGTCCGCGCGTGAAAGGCTCACTTTTGATTTGTTGAATGCGGACAGATTGACCGCATCGCTGCGCTTTGCCGTATCGTCTTTTCGCACAGTTGTAAGGGTACCGCTTGCGAAGTGGGATGCGGTGGCCAAATCGATAAACAGCTGATTTTTCCTCATCTAGACTAGTGGCGGACCGAGGGGGGGGGGCGCCCCCCCCTTCCCCCAAGAATGGGTCGCGAAATTTTTGAAACTTACCTATATGGGTTATAAAAATGTGCAAACGACTTGTTTATTTTTGTAAATAATTAAAATATTTTTTGAAATTTTCTTAAAATCCAAATTAGCCTTATAAAAATTTTTATTCGGGGGCGTGGCGTCAGCCACCCCCCCCCCCTTTTCCAGATTGTAGGGGTTGGGGACCCGCAAAATTTTGAGAGGCACCCCAAAAATTTTTTTGGAGTGCGTGGCTAGCGCCACGCGCCTTCATCTGAAAAATTTTTGTCGCGCCCCCCTCCCCTCCCGGTCCGAAATCCTGCGACCACCACTGGTCTACACACATTGCTAAGACTAATGTTTCGCTAACACAACCGCACCGCTCCAGAACTGTTACACCTACGCCCGCTAAAACCATGTGCGTCAGCCACCATTCAGTTCCATCTTCGTTTTAGCCAAAATTAGACTGACACGTCTCCGCTGCGCAACAGTTCGCACTTTATAGCAACGAGAGTGTATAGTCCTCCTCACCCCACTAGTCGGTCGGTGGTCGAATTTGAATTGGAACAAGACAGGCCGGCCGCGGTAGAGCGCGGCAGACGTCGCTCTCCAGCCAACCGCTTGCACGAGCTTTTTCCTTATTTTCATCGTGTTTCTTTGCTATCTCTCTTATTGCGGCAATGTTTTCAATCAGATTTTTAGATTTCGTACCGCTAACTATTGTTTTGTGCATTGTGCTTGTTTGTTTTACATTTTTTTCCAAGTAAACCTGGAAGAAGGATGCGATTGGAGATTTTTGAATGAGATATCTCTTTTCCGGTAACTGACATATATACGAATGTGATTTGATGAAATTTATCAAATTTTTCGTTAGAATAGGTATCTAGGCTATTTTTTTGCGATAGAGCTGAAATCGTCTCAAAAATGTTTGTTTCAAAGAGTTAGCTGTACGAAGTCTGAAAAGCTATTAAGAACATTGCCGTAATACGAGAAATAGCAAAGAGACAGGAGAAAATAAGAAAAAAGCTCGTGCAAGTGGTTGGCTGGAGGGCGACGTCTGGCGCGCTCTGCCGCGATCGGCCTACTTCAGTTCGAATTCAAAATCGACCACCGACCGACTAGTGGCGTGAAGACCATAGATGCGTTAAGTGGAGAAGTTTCTCTGAACTCCTTCACTTTAGGGCCAGCATCTGGTCGACCCCTTTCACCTGAGGTTGAGACTAGAATCAAGGCACAACGGCATAATCAAACAGCTGTTACAACGGCATTTTTTGTTCGGAAAGGAAGCGCCAGCTGCTCTTCTCCTCAGACATCACGACTGCAAGAGAGTATCGAAGCAACAGCGTTTCGTTGAAAAAACGCATGCTTGAGATCTTCAGCGCACTTAAAGTGGCATTGATAACGAAACATAATCAAATTAAAAAGATGCCTTCTTTGAATAATTATTGTATCAATGAGTACACACTGTCACAGAAAGAGTTGAGCAAGAGTAGAAAATCTGGACTAGCCAGTGATGGATGCACGTTTACTGACAAGAATAGTACTGTATCTCCTTTCACTATACAGAATAATTACAAATAAAAGGACATTCAGATTATTCGTTTCTCAAGCTTTCGAATCATATACAAAAGTTCGGAAAAGACTTTCTTGGTCTGAAAAAATAATTACCCGAATTGGCTGATATTGTAGCTGGGTAAAATTGCTTGTATCTCTCTTCACAGAGAAGCTAGGAAAAAAGAGAAGTCTACGTCGATCCCTAATGTTCTTAGCTCGAACGGTATACAAAGTTTTGGTGCACATAGCTTTCCAAATCCAAAAAAAGTCTTGCTCCCGCTACTCATAGAAAGCCGGAGCAGGGTGGTGCAAGCTAGTATTGAACATCTCCACCTCAATTTTGAAAAACCACGGGTTTTTTTCACCCAACAACCTATATACCATTAGAAAGCTCACGAAACAAAAATTCGACTTGGACCGTCTCTTTCCTCTGGCTCCTTTCTGCTCAGAGATACATGGCATTTTAGCTAAAAACTTGTGTGTTTTTGCCAAGAAATTCCTGCGTGAAGAATGAATGAAAGCGCTCGATTTCTAACAGTAGCACAAAGAAGACCATGCCAGTAAACGTAGATCGTCTTTTTTTTCTAGCTCTCCTCTTTCTCTCAGAAATGGAGCGCAAAGTGATTGCATAAAATCAGTTGATGCTGATGCTAGATATGATTTCTTATATGTGCAATCACAGGAGAGCTGGAAAAAAAGAGACGGTCTACATCGATTCTATATGTCTCAAGCTTTCGAAAAATATGTCGACTGATGAAACACAAAGCTTTCCCGAGTCAAAAAGTTTCTGTTAGATGACCTTCGAAAGCCTAAGCATTGAGAAAATCTTTATTTTACACCTCTATACCGGTTATTTTCCTTCTTTTCACTCCCGCCACCGTTAGGCATGCAAGCTTGCGTCAGCATTCATCTTAAGGCTCAGTTACCTCCTTCACTTTTCTAGGTCGGAAATAGCCAAAACCCCCTTCTCCTGGAGAGGACTCTGCTCCTCCTATCGCACCTATGGTAAGGACGACTATATCATATCATGTGTGGGAACCCATGTCTGCGTTTAATCTTTTCTCTATCTTGTCTTCTCTTTTTGTCTGTCCTTACGTGGCAAAATGCCAGAACTGCACACCCGTAAAGCTCCAGATGCGGACGTGCCGCGTCACATCGAACGATTCTTCTGCTCCGGTTGAAAACAGATTGTACGTTTCTTACAAGGCGTGAACGGTAAAGGGTCTTTTGGCCACCAGGTCTTTTTTGAGTACTGGGATAAATAGAAACAAGTGGATAAAAGAAATAGTGCTCTTTGTTTTAATGGTGTATAGACAAGTCAAAGTGTTTTGCAAGTTATCCGAAACTAACTGGAGGAATTAAAAGACAACTAACTCTTACCTAGATCTGCTTATATGAATGCTCAAGGTGCTAAATTGGTTTGCTAGAACGACCGCGACAAGGATAAAGATGATACGCAAAGATCCGGTAAGTATTGTCTGTGAATTTACAACGATAAGTAATCTTAGTAGCAATCTTTCAGGTAATTTTTGTCATTGGCTGCACAGGTACGGGCAAGAGTGATTTGGGAGTTGCTATAGCTAAAAAGTATAATGGAGAAATCATCAGTGCTGACTCTATGCAGATTTATCAAGGTTAGTTTACTCTTTGTCGAAGCTATTTCATAAGCAAATTCTCCATACGGGGTCGGCAAAATTTGATCTTATATATTGTGAGCATGAAAAATCTGATAAGTAGGGTAAAGAGGCCGCGGTCAATGCTTAAAAAAAGAGAAAGTTGTTTATTTGAGTTTTCATCTATATCTGATCTGACGGTAAATTTGCCCAAAAATCTGAGAATTCTTAATGCGTTGACGAGTGCCGCTCAATGGTGCGCGGCAGCCTTAATTTCAATACTACCGGTCCAACCCTCTCGTTTTCCATTCATATAATCAACATAGGCTCAGATGTACTTCATATGTTAGCCCCGCCCCTTTTGACAAACTTCGCCCACTCCTATGCTCCTCACGAGGACCCTTTTTGTTCATAAAAAGCATGAGTGAGCCCGTAGATGAATGCAAAGATCTCAGGCAACCCAGGCCCGTCCATCGTCAGGCAAAACCCGCCACCTAAGTAAGCTCCGCCCACTTTTAAAAAGTGGCGGATTCGCATGGATTCTTAAAATTTGAGCAATTTCCTCCACTTTCGGGCAAATGGGCGGAGCTTGCCGCATGGGTCGGGGCTTGCAAAATTTGTATTTCGTGCATGATGCATGCATACATACATGCAGCCAGGCCTAGGGATCCCTGGAAACGTCTCGTCCACAGGGACAGACCTCAAAAAAATCGCTCGTCGTCACGTAACTCGCGTGGAGGGGCTCTCTTATGATTGTCATAATATTACTTGCATCAATATTCGTCCTGACAGAACGGGATTTCGGTCGAAGTGTTTACCGTACTGAAAGAACGACCTGATCACTAAGGCAGGCGCTATACTCCTGATCACTAAGGCAGGCGCTATACGATCGCCAATCGCTACGACTGGCGATTGCCAGTCGCTAATACTGGCGACTGTGTCTTCTATGCGTATCGATCGCTAACTAGTTACCACACGTTCAATCGATACACATTTAATGTGTAGTCGCCATTACTGGCGACTGGCGATCGCCATTCGCCAAACAAGTTACCACACGTCAAATCGATACATATCAAACTTGTGGTCGCCAAAACCTGGCGATCGCCAATCGCTTCGATTAGCGATCGCCAATATCGGCGACAAAAATCGCCTTTTTTACACGTATTTGATGCATTTCGATCGTCGCTATGCTATACTCTCCGAGGAGTATAGCGCTTGCCTAACAAGGGGAGGTACTTAATCTAAAACAACCCTTTAAAAAGAGCCATATAGTAAGCACTAGCTGATCTGCCCGGTCCAGCCCGGGAATGATCACTGATCGGGAATGAAGATAAGGTATTCGGTGGCATTGTAGAAACTGTGTAAAGAACAAAAACAAAATGTGAGCACTTATTAGTCGGTAGCATATCTCTCTTTCTCCAAATCAAGTTCAACACGCAAAACCTAAGCAAGCAGCGCGAGTTAATTGATAGCAGCGCTCATTGTTATTATGAGGATCATTTTTTGTGACACTTTGCCGTTAACCGGCTACTTCATCTTCATTCACTGCTTGCCGTCAATTTTTGTGGAGTCGGGTACTTTGCACTCGCGCACTTTCCTGGTCCAAGGGATCAACTATAGCGAATGTGAGTTGTCGCTTGTCTTGACATTATTTCTGGTATTGACAAATAATTTGTGCGCAATCTCATGAAAAATTTTGACCCCTCATTGTTTAAATTGAGCATGTAACGAAGAAAGCATTGATTTAAGCGTAAATTGAGCACGCTTCCGTGCAAAACACTCGCTACAAAGCACTCATGGTCTCTTGCACGCTAAGGTTTCCGCATAAGATACATTTAGTGCATCCATTTAAATGAGCAATTGAGACTCACATCAAGAACACTTTTCACTGCACTTCGTCAACAGAAGTTCACAATGAGACATGCCAGCCTTGTTTACATACCCCTGTTTTGATAGCAAATGATAAGAATCATTTTTATTGCAAAGTGCTGCAAATCAATAAATCGATAGAAGGACCCAACGAATCGCTGCAAAAAGTAGCCTATCATCTGCGCAAGGCTCGAAAACATATGTGTGTAAAGTTTCAGCTTAATCGGTTGAGCGGCGCGCGTTTCTATAGCGCACATACCCTCCAAACTGACAATTTTTGAGTTTTATATATATATATATATATAGATTATCCGTCTAGCCTGATCTACCTCGCCGTGGAACGGGCTACCAGTGTTTTGAAGAAGTTTGCACTGGTTCTACAAAATCTGTGTTCTCCTCGTTCTTGCAAAATGATGGCTTTGAAACTCACCGCGCAATGGTGGCCATCATCTATATATATATATATATATAAAACTCAAAAATTGTCAGTTTGGAGGGTATGTGCGTTATAGAAATGCGCGCCGCTCAACCAATTCAGCTGAAACTTTGCACACATATGTTTTCGACCCCTGCGCAGATGATAGGCTACTTTTTGCGGCGATTCGTTTGGTCCTTCTATCGATTTATTGATTTGTTTACGTTTTTCTAAGGAATTGAAGGCTTATCATGTTCAGTCAAGCATTTTCCATAATCTGTAAAGGAGGGCGGTGAAGCTCATTTTAACCTCATTATTACGAGGATGCGGTTTGAAGCGGATGTCCCTAGGGTAAGTCATCCATAACATATAAGGGGGGGGGGCTTGCAGTGCAAGTGAACGGAACAAGGCCCGGGCTGGACCGGGAAAGCCAACTAGTAACTTATAATAACGGGCTAAGGGTTGTTTACGTTTGTGTGTGTGTGTCTGAATCTCTGTCTGTCACGAAATTCATGGAGCGAGTTCCAATGAATTTCTTGAGCTCAAATTTTGCACAGAGCATGATACTCAAATGCGAGTCCACTGTACAAAAGCATGAGCGAATCCGTTGTGTGGATCCCTCAAAAAATGCGCGTCAGTCGGATCCACTTGGCTTTTGGTCAGTAAAATTGGGCCTGTAGCACAACTTTTTGCAAGGTCACGGATTGTTTGACAAGTTAATGTGCAAACGATGGACTTTAGCTCAAAAAATTGAACTAAAGTTTATTAGTTTGCAAAAACGGGCCAAAAAGATTTGGTTGCGTAAATATATACTTTGCCAAGGTTTTACCCGATCACTTGAAAAGATTTTTGCACAGAGATGTAGCCCACGGTGACCTTGTATCTTATGGCAAATGCCAAGCCGTGAAAAGTCCAAAAACCGATTCAAATCAGCATCTGTTCCTTTGGGAGAAGTTTCATTCACGCAAAATTACCGATCTCATATGGAAAAGCTTTTAGAATGAATAGTTGTTTACAAAGCATTCGTGATAGTAGGCATAGCGCTGTGAGTTTCATTGTCACTTTTGTGCGGGAATGAGTAAGGCATCAGAAAGTAGGGCAGTGCGAGCCTCTGCGAAGCAGAGGTGACGCACTGGTTACGAATAATTTGAAAACAACTACTCATTCTTGAAGCTTTTCCATATAAGATCGGTTACTTGGGAGGCGAAAACCTCGGTGCCAAAAATAGAAGCCGATTTGGCTGGGTTACCGAATATTTTATGGTTTGACTAACTGGCTTATCCGGCTCCGCCTTGCCCTGTCGCAACACTACGATAAAGGTCACATCCCTAACCCTGTACAACCTTTCTTTACCAGTTCTACATGGCATTTCTTATTTTCTCTGTTGGAAATCAGCATGCTCCACCTCTCCCCTCCCGTGCCAACTCGCAACCCCGTAGCTGAAACTTTGCGAAAAAAATAAAATTAAAATAAATAATAAAAGATAAAAGTAACGGATAATTCAAAACTAATATTGTGTTCGTAGTCAGCATGCTCGATCACCACCTGTGCCAACTCCCAGCACCGTAGCTCAAATTTTGCAAAAAAGCGATAAATCGATACCGATCGATAACCAAAAGTAGCCTACGACACCCGCCCCGCCCCGATGTGTATGCGTAAAGTTTGGTCGCGATCGGTTCAGAAATGAACTTTCTATTCGGAACATATGTACAGATAGGCGGACAGAAAGACAGATAGACAGATAGACATACATGCAGGATATATCTTATATATAAGATATATCTTATAGTATATCGCTGAATGTCTGTTTGTATATATTTCTGTCTGTTTGTGTACGTATGTTCCAAATAGAAAATTCCATTTCTAGACCGATTTGGACCAAGCTTGGCACACATACACTTCGGGGGGGGGGGGGGGTGTTGTAGGCTACTTTTCATCAATAGCGATTTTATCAATTTTTATCAATTCCTTTTGCAAAGTTTGAGCTACGGGCTGGGAGTTGGCACAGGGGGTTACTGAGCATGCTGATTACGAATACAACATTAGTTTTTAAAATTGTCCATTACTTTAATCGACTTTATTGATTTTTTGCAAAGTTTGGGCTACGGGACTGGGAGATGGCACAGAGGGGGGGGGAGGGCAATCGAGCATGCTATTACGGCCAAAACTGAGATTTTGCCCCTCTGCAGTATACCTTCCATAACTGAGTGAAATCGCCTCAAAATGCCGAAGGAGTATGATATTCGTCATCAGCATATCAAGCCCCCTCAAAGTTTCAGCAAAATCCATGATTTTAGCTTCTTATGTGTACCCAACGTAAACCCGGAAAATGGCGCTATCGCGCGAAATGACTACGATATTCGTCATCAGCGGCTTTAATAATCCCAATGTACCGACTTTGAGCAAGATCCATCATAAAAACATTTTGATCCGGATAGCCGAATAGCGCCTCAGTTTTTAGAATTATCCTTACTTTCACCGGTTTTATTGCTTTTTTTTGCAAAGTGTGAGCTACGGGGCTGGGGGTTGTTGAGGGAGGTAGGTGGGCATGCTAATTACTAAGACAGCGGGAATAGGGAATTGCATGTAAAAGTGGGCACAATGAAAGATTCTACAGGGATAGGGTAAGACCTTAATCATAGCATTGACAGGGCCGGGCGGAGCCGGGTAAGCAAGCTAGTCTTATACATAAAGCTGAATGTCTGTTTGTATTTCTGTATGTCTGTCTGTCTGTATG